GTATTGTGAGAAGGATCAAAAGCGTTGGGACGAGTACTTGCCTCAAGTTATGATGGCTTACAGAGCTTCGGTGCATTCCAGCACAGGGCTCACCCAACAAAATGGTCTTTGGGAGGGAGATAGCCCTACCCATGCAAGCAGTCATTGGGAGGCCAGAAGAACTTCGCGATCAGTCTGATGTTGAAAGTTATCTCTTAACATTGGAAGATAAACTGAAACAAGCTCATGAAGCTGGCAGAAGATCCCTGAAACAAACAGCAGAATATAGGAAAAAGAACTATGATCTCAAGACCAAGGGACGAAGTCTTAAAGAGGGACAAGCTGCATGGCTCCACAACCCTGTCCGGAAACGTGGCGTCTGCCAGAAGCTCACTTCAAGTTGGAAAAGGACCCTATCTCATAGAAAAAGGATAGACGATGTCACCTACCTTGTGAGAAGGTCCCTCAAGCAACCTTCAAGGTGTTCCATGTGGACCGGCTGCTACTCTACAGAGGAGGAACCTTCCCTCTTGGATCAAAAGATGTCAGCAGTCAATTTCAAGAAACCAGTAGATTGGCCCTTGAGAATCTGTCTCAACACTTTTTGGAAAAGTTCAGAAGTTTATCTTTATTGTTAACAATGTTGGTGTTTTATTAACATTTAAATATATAGTTGGATGGAACAAGTTGTGTCCTGAAGAAGAATCTTGAACTGATGTGATGAAGTCATTTCTTGCATGGATTGCTCTAATAAGTCGTAGGGAGCTGTACTAGGACTTAAAACTTCTAAGGGTGGAACCTTAACTTGTGTCATCATACAGCGCCAGATATCTGCAAGCAGGAAGAACATGTTGATGAAAGTGCTGCAGCGGACGACGATGGATCCATCACGTAACGCAGTAAGACTAGGCCTGATCACCCTGGAACCTGCTGACTTGATGTTGTTTACTGTTCTTTCTGTGGAAATTGATCTGGGCATCGTATGAGAATGGAGTACACAGAACGGATGTAGGTGACCCACGTAGAGATTGAAGCTGTGATGTGTCCTGTGATGCTTAACATTTATTAGGGATCCATGCAAACCAGAGTCAGGGTTGTAGAGTTGACCTTACAACATAAACTTAAGTGTAATTGAATGTGATGGCATTTAAGACAGAATTGTATGCTGTTGCTTTATTGGGTGTATGGGACATCCTAAAAGAAAACATTTGTGTTACAGAATACACTACCTAATTCAAGCAAGTATGGCAAGCAAGTATGCATGTGGAATTGGAGCATGTGACAAGTCATTCCCAACGAAGAAGGAACTGAAGAACCATTTTGCCGCTGCACCTCATCGCAAGCTAAAGGTTGCCTGCATCCTATGCCCAGTTTTCCAGACCTTTGCAAGGGTATCGGAGTGGAAGCGACATTGTGAAGCCAAGCATAAAGTTCAACTGCTGGACTTGGATCCCGACTTCTCATCGGAGAGCAATGCTGCTTGGTTCTCACTTAACCCGACAGTTTACAAGAGGGTGGTGCCTGCTCCAGCTTGGAATACACCTCTGTCATGTTCCACGCGGGAAATGGTCCTCCTTTGGGCATCCACCCAAGGAGGTGCACTGAAGACTGAGGAGGAATGGGAAGAGGGTTGGGAAAACCTGAAGGCTAACACCATCAAGGCTGTACCTGCTGAGTCATCTGAAGCTCTAGACGATGTCTTGTCCATCATCACAGAGGGCGACATTAGCATCGGACAGGAGGAGGAAACACCAACCATGGAATACAATCCCCTTAGCAGCCAGTGTGATGCGTCAACCCAGCTCGAGCTGAAGAACATCACCCTCCAGAGTAGCAATGCCACGGCCATGTTCTTCACGCCTGGAGGTGGATTTGTTTATGAGGCCTGCATCTCTGAAGAGGCGATCATGGATGCTAAGTCGTTCGATAATCTCACTAGACGGATGAGGACTCTTGGAAGGGCTGAACCCGTTCCTCGGCCCAGTGGAAAGGGCAAGCAATTGGAGGGAGGCCAGTTGGAGACAAGAAGAGCCACTTTGGCATCGCTTCTTGGTATAAAGAAAAGCCTAATCAACAATGTCACGCACTGGACCTCTCCATTCGCATCGAGAACGTCACCAAAGTCTCGGGAGACGAGAACCCCAGAGAGACAGCAGAAAAGATCTAGGAATGCCAGCAAGTCCCCGCTGAAGGTTTCTTCCAAGTTTCCTAGAAGAGTTGAGGGTACAGGCCACCAACGACCCAGCTCTCCCAGGAGGTCCAGAGACGAAGACACGGCGAGAGAAGCTAGAAAGATTCTGTCTGTCGGCTGCATGCCACTCTTGCCACCAGCTAGACGAGACTGGACGAATCACATCATCCGTCTCCCCGCCGGCAACAGAAACATCGCTTGGCCTCCTAGGAGCTGGGAGACCCTCAGCCCTGACCAGAGACTCCTCCAGTGGGAATTCGCGGCAATGACTCTCGAGGAAGGCCTACAAGGACGGATCCCAAGGATGGACAGAAGTCTCCTCCATGACAAGTGGAATATGCTCGCTCTTCCTGGCACAGCTCTAAACGCTGAAGACCATTCACCCTCCAGAAAGTCGCGGCTGTACAATTATCGTACCTTGCAAGACATCTCACAAGGAAGGATCTGTGGTCAGACTGCCAGAGCCACGATCCTGATGTACCAAGCTGCCCAGCGCCACAGGACCACCGACACCGACAGAGTTGTTCACTGCATTGAGGCAGAGAGGATCGGTCTTCGTCTGGAGGCAGATTTATAGGTCAGGGGACCTGACCTTTGAAGAGGGGGGATGTTGTGATGGCCATCACGAAGATTTAAATAATACTCCTGCATTTTAATTGCAAAATTCATAAGTTATAAAAGCTTGTAAATGATTAGGCATCATGACATATCTGTTAGGTATTTCCCATCTGTATTTTTTGATAGTTTATGGCAGTGCAGAAATTGTTATTATAATTATCGTGTAATTAGTTTTGCAGCTATATACGAGTATTATTGGCAACCTCGTTTTCACGTAATTCAGTGTTTTGAAATCTGTTTTGGTAAGAAATCTAGCAAAAAAGATCGTAGCATGTTGTTTTGAGCATTATAACATGTATTGCATTCGTAAAACATCATAAGCTAGTGCCATCACATTACGCTATTTGTTTAGAACACAGTTGTACTTTGTAAGAGTCAATGTCAACAACGTCTCCTGTCAGAACGATCTTGTTTACCTTTTCAAGAGTTTTTGAATTGACCGTAACTTTTTGACATTTCCTTGCTCTAAGCGTCTAGTTACGAAAACTAACTATCCGATATGGATTAATCTTACCTTGTCCTTCGACAAACTGATCATAATCCCTTGACACTCGTTAATTATCCATTCTTTGGTGAATTTGTGATCAGGGCCGAGCTACATGTTTTGGTGACGCCCGCCATTTTAACTTTGTGACAGCCAGTCTATTTCGCAACGGGGTTACCGCTACTTTTGACTCAGCTTAGTGTTTTGCATTGTAAAGTTTATGTAATCTTGTGAATTACGTAGAGGAACCCAGAATTGTACTTGATGATGTATCAGGTCATGTTTCAAAGCCGATGTTAATTCTGACAACGGGAACTATGTGATTCTCACTGTTGTATTCATACGCGATGTTCAGCATCATTATTTATGAACGTGTTTTTCATAAATATGACTTCCAGTGCCACTGTCTAATTGCATAAGGGGCTGAGTCATGTTTTTAAACATCTTATGTGTCAGATAAACTCCTATTGCCTCCTGACATCTGTAATCTTCCTCTTTGAATTGTCCATCATAATTCCCAGCCGATGCTACTTGTTGATATTACGTCCCCTCAGCAGGCAGCAAGGACGTAGCAAGACGTAGAGAGACGCAATTGTTGATCTTATGATATTGGAAGGCAATTAATGAATTAATTACACATAATTAATTGGTTGGTAAAAATAGTCATTTTCCTACCTGATTACCTCCTGAGATAATTCGCCTTCCTCTTTATTTCAGTGGTTTCATGTTGTGAAAGTAGATCCCTCAAAAGAATAAGGACGTAACGGGACGTAATATCTCGTAATTTGATTGGTCTAGAACTGACATGTGACCATTTTCTCACACCTATAAATACGGTGAGACCCATGTTGGGTCATTCTGACTTTGGCAGTCTACAGGTCAGTTACAAACCAAGGGCAGATAATTCAGCCCAAAAGTTCCCCTTGTCCTTACATAATTATAATAGCTGATGCTATAGATAGACTGCACTTTTCGAACACAGACGCAAATTAATATCTTAGTAACTATCAAGTTATTCAGATTACCCAGATAATTAAGCCATCACTATATCTATATACTACTAGTAACAGTAAAGTCAAAGGTCATACTTATATTGCCCTAACACTGGTCCATGCACATAAACCTTAAGCTTGAGAGGGATCTACTTATTAGAAATAGCATTGTGCTGAAGTACATTTATACCCGTGAATAAAAAGCTATTTATTCATTGAAAAGAAGTGTTTGACTCTTCCTGAAAACAAGACTGACAAGGTTTAATTGAAGTGTGAGTCCCGGCCGCCACAATATCATAGCACAGCGCACCTCAGCGTTGTTGTTTAACGTGTATCTCAACAATATTCTAACTGTAGGCAGCGGTCAGTAAATAATCGAGTGTGGGCCAGGCAATCCTATGACAGACATCATGTGCATCGGTTGACTAGTATGTGGATCCGATACACGGCATGCAGTCAACCCCCCGAGCCCTAATAGTAATAATATAATGATGTTTTTTGCTTAAATAGTTTATATTGCGGACACCATGATCAAATAAATGGTAAATCCGTATGACTTGTGAATTGGGTCCCTGGATGACGACGCACAGAGAGCGGGGAACCAACTAACAAACATAAATGAACAGGGTGATGCGTTTTCTAAACCGTATTTGGAAAATGTTGATCTTGAACATCACGTCTACAACCGGAAGTAATGTTATCGCGTGACTGTATTGTCATTGACAACAGCGTCATTGTTAGCGCCATTACGCAGAGAAAGTTGTCAAGCGCCAATATTTCAAAATGGAATCGCCACCTCGGAGAAAACTGTTACTCTATGATGAGGAAAACGACATAACGTAAGTATTAAGCACTTTACCTCAATATATAGTCCGTTGACTATTAATGTGTATTTTGGCAGCTTAAAAAGGCAAGATGCAAGCTTTCAGAGTTAGGCATGTGAGTCCATATGTGCGCGAAGAATGTTTTATTTTAACCAGGGAATTATCTACACTTTGGTCTTTTGCAATTGATAAACTATGAGCCTGGTTGTGTATAATTACCAATGGCCACTCGATCTTCAGCAGATTATTTTAATCATTTTGGCGATCCAATGTTGCATGCCATGGAAGCAGCTGTCAAGCAAATGAACATTAATTTATGATGAGACGAAAATACCACGTACGCCTCCCCTGTAAGCATTAATTAAGATACCTGTGATAAGGCGAACAAATAATATCTCTATGCGAACAGTAAAAATATAGTGCCACAGTCTAACGCCTGGTAATATTTTCTTCTCTGCTGTTTAAGTTACTTTGAGATGAAAGCGTGGAAGGCTGTGGTACACACAGTCGTGGCAGCCAGTCAGTTATATGCCGACAAAATCGACCAGGGAAGAGAAATACTCAAATTCTTCTGTGAACTACGTAAGTTATCATTTATGTTAATGAAAACAGGCACTGGTATTCCTCATAAACGTTTTGGCTTTTTTAGCTATTATGTCACAGCTAACCTTTCCTACCTCGATGTTGCAATAACATTAAATGTATTGTACAGCAATTTGATTGCTTATGTACATAAACCATAAAACTATACTGTTTAAGCTCAGTGCCTTCGGGTGGTTTGAGGATTGTTTCTTTTTTCCAGGCTTTCAACACGGGAAAAAGAGATATTACTCTCAGTCAAGAGCAGAAAGATTTAACCAGTGTCTGACAAAGATCAGTGATTTCCACAAAGAGGTTCTTGGGGATATGGTTAAACATACAGGTCCAGATGGACCATTTGGAGACCTTCTAATGTGAGTATGTCTTGTACAACTCTGCAGGTAGTGGTCTGATGCTGCTTACAAATATTTAAAATATAGCCTAATTTATAGAATGTTTCACTTAAATAAACACCTTTCAAGGGCAACTAGTTTTAAACTGTCCGTGTAGGTGAGTAAAATATAAAATACTGACCCAAATTTAAGAATCAAATCAGTTTATCATAATCAGACATTCTGCAACCAAGCAGTGTGGATACATGTTTAAAAGGACACTCTGTCCCTTTTCTGCTTTCTGAAATGTTACTTAATTAGTCAAGTCATGTCTTCAGTATCATTGCATGTATGCTCTAAGAAGTCTAACAAGTCACTGATTGACTTAAATTACACAGGTCAGACAATCATGTATTCGAGCAGCTCCTGAGGAGGGCAGCTGCCATGAAGAAAACACATCTGAAGCTGGAGCAGAAAGCAGCAAAAGCATGGAAGGTTTGTTGAACAGTTTTAGTCTAATCGGCACATGGCTAAACTGACAATAATCAAATGATATTTTAGTTTCAGTGGTAACAATATTCAGCATTAAAACAACATGTGCTACGAATGGTATCCACAATCTTCTGCAAAAAGTGGTTTGGATTTGTTTCCAGAAGCCCAATGTTTGATAGAATTACTTTCATATTTTGCTGAAGTTAACAATTTCAATACCAATAAACCCAGTAGCTTCCTGAATTAAAGGATGGTGGTACTGAACTTTGGATTTTAGTGATGTTTTGAACCTTTACACAAAATAGACATTTTTCCTCTGGTCCGATTGGTCAAAACCTTTACAACTGATTACCATGGAATTGGCCTGACATTCATTCATGCACATGTATCTGCGTTTAGAAGCCACATTGTGCAATAGTGTTGTCCTCTTTCCACCAGTACTATGGACGGAGAGTGAGAAAGAAGGAGGACCTGTATACAAAACTGTCTGGCACCATGACTGCTACAGAAATAGAGCTCGACAAAAAATACACCACCTTCAAATCCAAAACAGATGCTGCCTTGACAAGATACAATATTTTCTTCACCAATGAAGTCGATGAACGTGAGGTCTTAGCTCAGGTGAGTTTCTCTTACAATGGGCTACTGACAAATGGACACAACAGGCACCAGACCAGGGTTGGTATCTATGGTATCTCTCTGGATACTGAGATGTAATGAAGCTTTATAAAATACTAGTTTGTGTTAAACCGTATACAGTTACACGATCAGTTAAATATAAATATTTTGGATAATGTTGACCATCACGATTGCAGATGTTTCTCACAAATGCCATAAAATTCATGAGTACTGGTCTTCTTATTCCAGACCCAATTGCGCAGATCGATGCTCATGCTGTTGATCACTGGATTGTCTGGTCCAGACTCGATTATTTACAGACCGCCGCCATATAGCTGGAATATTGCTGAGTGCGGCGTAAACTAAACTCACTCACTCACTCACTCTTATTCCAGAAAACTGAGAGTCTCAAAGAAGACTTTCTGGAACAAGAGAAAGCGAAGCTCGATGCAATGTTTGAATCCATCAATAACCTTGTAGAGAGGATGGAGAAACTGTCCCCTTCATCACTGGGGTAAAGTTATTTATGGTTTTCAGATTACTATACAGGTGGTTTTGTCATGTTGTGCTCGATTTCTTATGAACACAACTATTTCCCCCCAAAGTCCACTGTGTTTCACTTCTTTAATGGAAGCTCTATTTGTGCTCATCTTTTGACACTTATTCTATGACTGTTATCATGTACTATATGGAGACGTTTTAACCGTCACTACATTTTGTTACAGCTGTCTGGATTATGAACGAGAGGAGGCAGACACGACAACAATGGCTAAAGAAGTATGGGAATCCTCCCTCAAGAAACACACATTCCCAAAACATCGGGTAAGTGTTTTATCCCTTAATTGTACATAAATTAGTGTATGAAATAAGCCAAAAATCCAGCCAGACATCAGGGCTGGTAACTTTAAAATGTTACCAGCCGAAAATGGATTCAACCAGACCGAATATGGTGAATTTACTCAGATGTATGGAACATCTAATATTTTTACCAGACCATGGGGCGGGCTAGCTGTAAATTTAGTCCGTCAGAAATCTAGACCGTCTCGGGCGGTCGGACGGGCCTTATTTCATACACTGCATAAATGTGACAAAACTACACACATATGTGACATAAGAATTATGTTAGTGGTAATTCTAACTGTATGAAGAGATAGTTAATCAGATTATACATCCATCACCCAAACAGGATGACCCAACAAGCACTGAGGATGTGGATGAAGTCAGTGAAGAAGCTGATTCAGATGATGAGGACAAGGAATCAGTTGATGATGAAGACTCGGATGAAGAACTGGACATCACATCTCTCCAGGCTAGAAAGAAAGAGATCACTGTGGGAAGCCTTGCAGCTCCAAAGAATGAGCATCATCTTGCTGAAGTCCTGGAGGAAATCCTGATGTCTGACAATGATGAGCCTGCCAAAGAGACATCACAGGCTCCAGATAGCGTGTCCACACCCACAACAGGTGCTGATGTCATCCCAGCTAAATCTCCCAGACAGAGGAGAGAAGACAACAGCCTCGTCAGACAGAGATCAGCCAATACTTTCCAAAGTTCAAGGCCTGAACCTCGTAGACACAAATCAGCTGCCAACAGCAAAGAAACCAAAGTACAAGACCCCAGGAAAGGATCAGATTATCAACCCTCACACTCTAGAGAGGAGAATCACTTAAGGACATCGCCCCCTAAACAGAAAGAATTGCCAACAGAGCATGCACAACCTCAACCTACTGTACACTCCAAGTCTCAGCCTGGTCAACCTGGCCTTGTATCTGATGCCCGTAGGCGCCGCAGGGCAGCTAAGGAGGTTAAGAGTAACTCCCCAGGATGTGACAGTTCCACTCCTTCAACACAAGGGCACAACAATGACCAGAGGTCACCCAGAGTAAAGGAAGGATGGACATCTAATTATTCTTCCACAGGTGGGACTCAGTGCTTTTAGCTCAGTACATTAGCTCAAAGGAATTATTAAATTACAGATGAATAAAAACAAATGTGTTATACACAGCGCTATCTTTAACACTGGAATAAGTCTAAACTTTGCTTTAGGTCTGACTTTACTTTAGAATTTTGTTCTTTCACCTCAAATATGGTGGCATTCAAATATATTTTTGTAAATCAATCACAACAAATGCCTCCTTCATGGAACTGTCGTTTTCAAAATTGTTTTAAAATATTTTACTCTCCACAGGATTCCAACCCAGTGTCAAGGAGGGAGGGACATTCAAGTCTTCCAGCACAGGTAGGATTCTAGGAGTCGGTGATTTGTTTCAATTACTTCAGTGACAACAAATACATTTATTCAATGAAGGGTTCCTTCCAAAAATGTTACTTTTCATTTTTATTCTCCACAGGACCCCAGTCCAGTGTGTCAACGATGAGTAAAGTATCAGTCTTTGCTGTCCAGAATTGGAAGAAAGACAAACTCCAACCAGATCAGCCTTCGTGTTGGTGAGTTAACATATGACATCATCATGTCATTTTCCTCGAGTCTGTTTTTCTAGGATAAAACACTTCAGTATTTTTGGTAACCATCTTGCCCAACACATTTTTCATTATGGTGGTGATATTGTTGTCTTCATCCCTTCTCCTTCCGTCACCCCCTCACTCACATAATCTCCAGCATCATCAGGATCGTCTTCAATTTTCAGGCATGAAGATCAAGCAGATCAGAGCAGCTGATGCTGATGGCATGGCCTATGGCTACAAGAAGAACAAACTCGGGATGAGGATCCACGGCTCTTATCCTGCTTGCCTGGTCTCCTTGTGTGTACCAGCCAAGGAGTCTCACCCTAACGAATAAACCACGCCCTGATTATGAGTATGGAACATGGACTTGTCTTGATGATATGATTGATGCAAAATATGAATTAAGTGGCTCGGATTTGTAACCAAATGATTCTTGATTTACTTCAGATAAGTAATAATTTTCAAAACTAACATGGCAGACAAAAAATGTGAAATTATTTCTTGTTACTGTTGTTATTTATACATAATATATTCACTAACTCTACTTAACTTATACATTGGCTTTCACCACGGACGTTTGATTAGTTTACATGAATGGGCTAAATGTGAAATTTGAATTTTTACATTGTAATTCATATGATCTTGTCAACCTTTACAGAAATAGTCATTTTTAAAAACTATTTTGTCAAAAAACCCAACCCAAAGCATAATTCATGTGATTTTGTCATCTTTACAGAAAATAATTGTATTTTATCCAAAACAAATGTTCACCAAACAATATGCTCTCAGTAATTATGTGCAATGTTTTCAAATACTGGGTATCATTTGCTGAATATATTTACATAAAGATTAGATTGTTTGAGATATTTACAAAATATTGCGGATATGTTGAATATAAGTGTATCAACAATCATAATTTAATTCACATGTATCTCAAAGACAGTTTCATATTTATCAGTGTGAAAATGTGATTTATAATTGATGTGTTTTCTTGTACTTCAAGGTATATCTAAAGATATTTACACCATGTGGATCCTTTATGAAATAATGTATTTTAGAAAAAAATATATTCGTGTACTTTCAGGGTCATATTCGTCTGTAATATTTACGGCAATAATGACTCATAATGTTATGATGTGATGCCAAATCTATTGTATTTCTTTGTGGTGGAAAATTTGATAGTGATATATACACACATATGATGATATGCACTTTTTCCGAAATAGTATTGGCTGTATTGCCACATATTTAATATGTATATCTGAACCCTTGAATAAACATTCAAAACTTTGATACCACTAACTTGTTTTTACTTCACGTTGACAATGTCAATGTGAGCTTTACCTCCCTTTGATTGTCATCAGTCCGTCCATCCGCCTTTTCGTATTTAAATACATATATACTCTTCTCCGAAACTAAGAAAAATATCATTTTCACATGACCCAATTTTACTTTTCATTGGCTAAAACACAGTAGCTTTTACTTGTACAACATGTCAAATTCAGACAATATTAATAATGGACCTTCATAAAGCGCTTGTATCAACGCACCTGTGTATGCTCAAAGTGCAAAGACATTATTACCCCAGATAACCCAAGCTGCCTGTGAGGCGCTAGAAGGTTAAGTCATGTGACTTATCCCACCGGGTACCCATTCACTGCTGGGTGAACAGAAGCAACTTTGAACGAACTCATTTGCATAAGGTGAGACCACATGTGTCACATTTGCTTCGTTGTAGATCAGGACAGAAGTCCTAGAAGCTCTCAGGAGTCATGCTGTCAAACACGGTCACCCATCCAAGGACTCTCCGTGACCAACGTTGCTTAACTTCACCTGATTTTTTACCTTGCCTTTATGCACATGGCCACACACCACTACAGATAACGAAATGTTACAACCATACAATCGCATTAAGGGCCTTCACACTCTCTTTCACCATGGGGTTTTAGACATGGCGCAAGGCTGCCCTCCCTAGCCACTTTAACGTTCCTGAAACAATGTCCGTTGTATTCAGTGATATACCGTGCACCCTGGTTATAATGCCACCCTGGTTGTAATGCCACCCTGGATATAATGCCATGTTTATGCCAGAACTGATTTCCTGCCTATAATAATTATCTGGCTATAACAACAAACAGGATGTAATGCCATTTGCCAGTGATGTTTGGAACAGAAAGTCATTCTCCCTTGGTGCCAATTACACTGGCTGCATGTAGTGTACATACCTTAATTGGTTAATTGACATGACTCAAATTAATTGACCAAACTCATTAATACTTTAAAGGTCACATGCAACCAAAAAATCAAACATAATTAAAACACAATTATCACTTATTCGTGACATATAATATACATTGCTGGTTATGAAAAAACATATAAACAAAATTATAAGCGTACAATCGCAAATCAAAAGTGCAATATTGTGTACTTCGGTTTACTTCCCAAGAAACGAAGCAGCCGGGATACCGAACCCAGTCAGAGCGGGTGGGTGTGCACTCAAGTGTAACGGCTGGTTCATTTGCAGATGCCCTCACGGCTCATTGTGTGTGTATATGTAGAGATGTTGGGTTTTGTAAATACATGCTCATTTTTGTGTATAACATTTTGCAATCAACAGACATCATAACATGTCATGTGTTCAAATATCACACCTGCCTGTCTGTGTAATTTACATAATGTGACAGAGACCGAACTCGGGCCATAAATCAATGCATTTTGTTTATGGTGTATAGCCCTGATTGGTGTTAAGTTCAAATTGCATGTGGTCAGTGATAGCAGCTGTGTATTGAATATTGTCATTAGCAGACGAGGCAGGCAGACACACAGGTGTCAATAAAACAAGACATTGAGTTTTGTCTGTGACAACGACATATCTATATCACAGTTAGAAATTCTGTCAACGCTAAATAATGACATTGCTTTTAAAGTATCGAACTGAGAAAGTGACTCGGTAAGAAGAACGTGTGGTGAAATTATATAAATTAGTTAATTTACTGTCATAACATATATAAAAGCTCGCGCCTGTGCAGGATATCAACAAAACATTAGAAAAATAGCTCACACCAAAGCCTTCACCGAGTATTCACCCGGACAACCCGCTTCCAAGTTGCGCGAACCTATTTCACTGCGCACGTGCTATGAGCGCAGCCAGCTGTTGAAACCCGTTTTCCCCAGAAAGTCTGGGGAAAATTAAGTGAAAACGTTTGAACTCCGATTTCGCGCGGTTTTTTTTCATCGCGTTATTTTTCAACTTTATAAGTTGAATTTGCATTTTGACGATTTGTTTCGGTAAGTCCATACCGAAGGTATCAGAATCTGCAAAGTTGTGTTTTACGTTGCATGTGACCTTACGGGAGAGTGGCTAGAATGCTGCAGACTGACGTAAAATATATTCTCTAACTCTAAACACGAACCTCATCTCGTGCGGTTGATGAATGAAGAGAAATACATTCTTAAAACAAACAATCATTTATTTACATTTTCATCTATAAACAGAACCGTTATTTGACAAATTAACAATTAAAATCCAGCCTTGCTCAGTCGTGTTTATTCGATCGCTTGTGGATTTTTCATGTACCAGAGATGATGATGTACCAGAGGGTAGTGTCCCCGATACTGGTTTTCATCATAATAATATCACATGATATTACCATGTTATCAGTTCACTCAAGTCCACTAATAGTGAAAGGAATAAAATGAACAGTTCCATTAGTGCTCACAAGCCAAAGTTTAATGTGAATTAATGTGGAATGTAGAAAATCGCTTGAACGTATGATCTGTTTGTTTGTTTGTTTAACGCCGCATTCAGCAATATTCCAGCTATATGGCAGCGGTCTGTAAATAATCGGGCCTGAACCAGACAAGCCAGTGATCAATATCATGGATACGATGACATGTGTCAACCAAGCCATCAAGCCTGACCACCCGATTCCGTTAGTCGCCTCTTACGACAAGCATGGGTTTGCTAAAGACTAACCCGGATCTTCACGTGTTTGAAACGTATGACCGTATATATCCTTCATTATAGTGAAGCATTGAGAACTATTTTGGTTTACTTCATGCAATCAATGCCTCTCTGACGACAGGCATTGCGTTTTATTTCTACCCTTGAGATAAGTAAATATCTGCTTTAAAAAGTAAATAATGTGTGATCAAATCTCACAAATTGACAGTCACTAGAAAAAGAGTGCAAATCACATATATCGTATTTCCTCTAATAAGCGCCTGGAGTAAAGCAGCTCACTAACAATTACGGTAATTAGACCCAGTAAGTGTAAAAGCGCCGGGCTCTAAAAAGCGCCGGGTCTGGAACTCCATTGAAAACATAAGCGCCTGGGCGCTTATTAAAGGAAATACGGTATCTGCTTTTAATAAAATATTCAGGAATGTCAGATATCACAAATTATCAGTGACAGTAACATTAATGCAAGCAATACAAAACAAAACCTTTCAAACACCAACAAGGGAAAATACAATATAATGTCATGGAATTAATCTAAATTTATGTTCAAAAGATACTGATTTCATGATTGAAAAATGAAGAAGGCGTATTCAAAAAGATTCGATTCCTATAAAAGGTAACAAGAAGAGACAATTTAGTGTCTTCATAACACATAATCATTTCATGAAATATATTAAATATTTCACTTAATTGAAGACTTTAAATTTGCGATGAACAAAAATGTGATATAGTTCTGTAACCCTACAATAGGAAATGATTCCGAAGACAGAGGATAAACACGTTAAAGTCTACTTTGCCCAAATGTAATTAAATCCAGGTCTTCGTGCTGTTATATTATGAAAACAATCCCCTTGAAGATATAGATATCATAACTTGATTGCAAACAAAACCGAGTTGAAGTTGAAGGAAGCAATCCAAAACAACAGCTTGTTGCACGCCTTAAGCGAGTACACCAGGAAACAGAATGGGCAGTTCACTGTAAGGTTGCTATGTGGTGCTCATATGAGCACAATAATAACTATTTCCTATACCATCTCACAATTACTTGACGCTCGCTTTTGTAATACCTATTGGTCATAAAAACATAAAATAGAGATGTTGGAACGATCGTTAGACACACGGGTAAGAAGTATAAGCCAGTTCCAACCTTTGGTTGAAAAGATATATAACGTATATATTTAAGATGTTACAGATGTTTTGCCCCAGCGTGAATTTTGTTTTCAGCCTTATGGATGTCCAGATAGAGATGTCACCACTTGCCCCAAGCGAAAATCGCACATAACCGATAACTAACCAAAGGCCATAAATCTAACCAACACATAAGCCATATATCTAGTTTCTTTCTTGTCATTTACACAGACCCTGACATCATGCCGCATATCTCTTAATCTGGCATTAAGACAAACCTGAAATTTATTAACTTAAACAACCCACCCACCTTCAAGTGCGTTTATCTAAAATATATATCACATGAAAAGTAACGTGAAAACAAGCAAAGTAGCATTTATGATCTGTTGTAACGAGAATCTCTCACCCATAGTTGTACAACATAGTAAGCGCTAAACACAATAACAACATATGAAGATATGATATCAAGGCAACTGTTTTCAAGCAACCATGTGTCTTAGCATGTAAACAAGTCAAGGTGTGAGGTACCGTATAAATAATATTGGAATGCTACACAAATATTAAACTCTTAAGAGAAAATTTTCAGAATCATGAGATTCTACCATCATGCCGAGCACGGAGTTCCCGGTCCCGACGACGTCGTCGAGCAACACGCAGCATGTCGTCACCGTAGCCACCTGTTAAATAACACAAAATATAATACGTATTATTCGTTACCTATGACTATGACAATGTCGCCAATTATTCTTCCAACAAAAGAAATATTTCCGTATCATCAACACATTCACTCGGCTATTTCCGTGTTTTCCTTTTGAAAATATACAATCAAATTACAGATTAAAATGTTGATTTTCTTCCCGTATGATAAATGCTTATATTTACTGTCAATACAGTAAAATACCTCTTGACTCGACGTTGTGTTAATACTGCTTTTCGACACACTAGGATATGATTGAATGTAATTTTGTAAAGTGGTATCATTGCAGTGATAGTCTGACAGCATAGCTGTATAATATTGCACGCATAATTTAACAGCGAGTTTCAACGGTATTTCAGTTATATCCATCCTCGATAATCTCCAGGGTATACGTTACGATCACTCTCCACTATCGTGACGTATACCCTGGAGATTATCGAGGATGGGTTATATCCTGATGTGTCAACTTATTTGGGAGGAAGGCCGGAAGTGATGCAGATCTCACAGCCCAGACTACTTTGGTGAAACAAGCCTGGACACATGCTCAGGGCGAATCGGGCTTCGAACCAACAGTCATGGGTTTCTGGGGTAATGATGCACAGCAAATCCCTAATGAAGTGAAGAACCAGCTTCAAATTATTGTTCTGATACATCGTCAAGTTTCGCATATCGCATGTTCCTGAATAATATGTCCATGTTAAATTACTGGGATTATAGTTTAAGGAAGACAAAGATCAACAGAAGCCATGTATGCTCCCTGCACATTAACTCAGCTTAATTAGAGTGAGCGAGTTGGGTTTTACGCCGCTTGTAGCAATATTTCAGCAACATCACGGCGGCGGACACCAGAAATGGGCTTCACACACTAGGTTATCCCATCGCCCCAGCTTAATTAGAATTTTTAAAAAGTACCATACTAAAAGGTGACAGGGAGATACAGAAAATAATGTTCAGCAAAAACATGAGCGATTGACAAGATAATTGAGAGGTCCGCAAAGCCGGTCTACGTTACACAATTCAGGGGAGACAACTCTATAAAGACAGTTATTTCCAAATATACTCACGCTCACGGTCACCGATGAATGACACTCGAACCACCTGGAGATTAAGATAATCCCGCCAGTTGACCTTTATTCCTTTTGGGATGCTTTGTATTTCACCAAGCACAGAGTCGTACAGGATAGTGAATTTGGACAGTTTGAAGGCGATTGGCCAACGGATGTCTTTCCTGAACTCGACGCTTTCGCCATTGTATGTCACTCTGAAGTAGATGTCCTGGCTGTAGATGACGTCAGTAACCAGATACAAGTTCTCCACGTTGAAACCGACTGAAAAAGAGTACAGTGTGTTTAATGCTGCGACTTAGGGGCCCAGGGGTCGGAGGCGTTATAATTTGCAGTACAAGGTTCCCAAGTCATGAAAGTGGTAAACACCTACCACAGACGTCATTTGTTTGATTATTTCCTTGCTGATCTACCAAGCCCTGATATTACCGATTAAAACGTGTTATTCCTAATTCACCCACTTACTAAACGGTTTGCCACAGGGTAGAATAGATATAACATTTAGAACGCGGAAATTAATTAGTCCAATCCAACGATGTTATCAAATGTAGAAAAAAATGTTAAAATTGGCCTTTAGGGGTAGTAGTATAATAAAAGTGTAAGAAAGAGTGTAAGAAAATATTTTTCATTGTTTTCACACAAATAAGTCATGCAACTTTTTTGTGTGAAAACAATGAAAAATATTTTTTTACAGTAGCTTTATTGGAAACCCTGTCGAGGCAAGACAATACATCTTCTCGATATGTCAGTTTCTTCAAAAGTAGCTTTACTCCAGAAATTCAAAAATAGGATATTTGGTATTCTCAGTATATTTTCCTTGGATAATAATTTTATAAATTAGCTTTGTCAGTTATTCCTCCCACTGTGTTACATGTGTCTTTGTTGTCATTGCTCATGACACGGTCAGGAACCTGGGTCAATGCCAGCTGATGCCCCGCACTATGCACATTTGCGTCCCTTTTTGAAATAAATCTAAGAACCTAGGTTAGAACCCAAGAAAAATTCCTCATATTACAGAAGACATCCATAACTTTCACCTTCGCTGAGACAATGTTTAACCAGAGGCATTAAACAAAACGTAACTTTCGACGTAACAGAAACATGATCAGAACGACACGTAACGTAACACAGCCGTGACACAACTTACATGCATCGCACGCAAAGAGATCTATAATGGTGCCCTTCAGCATCTCGATACGGTCCAACACCTGCCGCTTGCAGTTGCTAAAAGTAAGGAAAACCCGTTTGCTGGCTCGCTGAGATGTGTCCTTGCCACTGTAGGAACCGTAGCTCATTCTCAAGGAAGCATTTGTGCCTCTCTTCATAGCAGACGACACTTCTGTGGAGATGTCCTCTGGTGAAACTAGGATGTCCTCAAGCATACACACTGGTCGAGCCTTGGGCGATCGAAACAGGAGTCTTTCTTTCAGCGATCTGTCCTTCAGGAGAATAACCGCTCCAAGGTCGTAACGAGGGCCATCGCCGATATACTTGACAGCCATAAACTCACATTTTGCTAAAATATAAACAAACACATGGTGAAAATGACCTATCCCGAGCGTAAACGAAGGAGGTACACTGAGCACGCTTGAAACCCTTTACCTGAAATAATAAGGGTGCGCCCGTTTCGCAACACAGTCGTAACTCTCATTATGTTACACAGTAGTCCTTTAATATATTTCTTTGTTTGTTGTTTAATTCAGCAATATTCAAGTTATATGACGGCGGTTTGTAAATAATCGAGCCTGGAACAGACAATCCAGTGATCAACATCATGAGCATCACTCTACGCACTTGGGATACGATGACATGTGTCAACCCAGTGAGCGAGCCGTTAGTCGCCTCTTACGACAAGCATGGGTTGCTGAAGATCAATTCTAACCCGGATCTTCACGGGGTCCCATAGCTTTCGTGAAAAGGACACTTATCATGAAGCCTTATATTATCTTTAAACCGTTTTTGTGTTACTTGTTGGCGTTGAAAATAGAAAAAGGGGTCAAAATAGAATCTTTAAAAATACGTGTATCCCTTTAAACTATTGTAGGGCAGAAAGTTGCCAGAAACCAACGAATAAATGAAAGATTGGGATATATGTAAATAAATATAGTATTACTATTACAAGTAAGGATAAGATATGTTATTATATTCCAAGAGATCTTCTGAGGCATTTGAAGAAAGGTTTTTGACATTAAAATCAAGCGAGAGATCCTTCAGTGCAATGAGGATGATCAATGCGTACCTTCGGTCCACCAAGGGTGATGTCCGTATGTCATAACTTGCACTTATCCATGTCCACAGAGACATGCCAGCAAATATAGACCGTGTCACTGGGCAATTTGCTGCTCAGAAGACGAGGCGCATGGATTTCATTTAAGACTGTAGATAACGCGCTGACAGCAATGAAGTTTACTCCTCATTATTAGTGTTGGGAATTGGCTGAAATCTCACTATTGATGATTGATTCAAAACCAACGAACAATCATCGAAAAAAAATTGGTTAGCATCATTTTTCAGATTTTCCTATCCAGGTTGTTATTACAGATATGAATAACATGATGCAACTTGCTACTTTAAAGTGAAGACTAATATATCATGAACATAAACTTCCTGGAGTCTTTAAGAAGTATTCAGTCATGGCTTTTCAGTTAGTGAAGTGAGTTTTCTAAGAATTAAACACGTTTTCAGGCCCTGACACTTCAACGATATGTTCCATTGTCAAGTATTTTAAAGACTAAAACAGTAGTTCCAAAATCGTTTATGTTCGATTATGAGAAAATGTGATCAATTGCTTGGTCGTTTGGTCACTGCAACCAATCTTCGATTATTTCAATTAATCGGAACACCACTACTCAGAATACAGTCTTTTCTTATCGATTCACATCATTGACATTTGTTCAAATTATGCTTATATAGAAAGTAATCGGGAGCTAGCATGGACATTATCATGGACATACAGACTCACCTCCTCCATACAGAATGAGGTCGTTGATGATGTATTGCGCTATATGGGACCAGGCCTCCTTTACAGAGAGACAGGGGATTAGTCTCACAAATTTGGAAGGAATCTCCTTCACGATTGCTCGAGGCATTGTAACATTCAGCCACATGCAACAATGTCATCGAGCGACATCGACAATATGCATGACGTCATAGAAGGTAGGTGTGACGTCACCTTGAATACACTTCCGGATTCAGGCGTGTGACTTTGTAACTCATTTCAGTACATTAGTCCCGGAGCCCGTTGGTGAATTTTGTACCGGGAGAGCCCAAAAGGTTTAAACATATATACCACATTATACCAAATTACTATTATTTTCAGTTGATCAAAATAATAACAATAGTATAATAGGTTACATTTACCGAAAAGACAAATGGGAGTTAATTTTAATTTAGTCGAGAATAGAATCTATAGATGTTAAATTTTATTTAAAAATATATGCATAACTGCGAGCCAACACAAACACTATTATCCAGGGACACCCTTTGTGTCGTTTGCATAAAACATGGAGTTGCAATATATGGTAATTGTGGCTTGGTATTACATTATGTACCTCGACTGCATGGCCGCTGCTTAAGTTATCAACCTCTGGCTTTGTCATCCTGGCTCAAATATTCATAGGCCATAGCTTTTATACCTTAAACTTTCATGTATTGTTCAGATTTGTCACATTCCACCACTGGGCTTAAGGGAACATGCATTCGCCGACGGCTTTGAAAACCTAGTATTTATCTTAGTCGTCATATTTATCTGCTAAAATATATTTTAAAAAGTCAAATGTATGACAGACAGACAGACAAGCCAGAATTGATTTTCAATTACTTTCTAGTGATTGATTATATATTTTCAACCTATTTCTGTATGTAATGTATACAAAGAAAATTTTGCATAAGAAACCTTTTACATCCTGCATTTTGGCAGTCAGATTGACAATAAACGGACAAAACGTTGTATTTAACATAAAACAAATGTGTACAAAACAAACTTAGGAACGGTATACAAGCACATGAACCACAGAACCAGTCCCTAACATTTATTATAGATTTATTATACGCCCCCTCGTCTGGAACAGGTAATAGGAGGACCAGGTAACTCGGGCTATAGAATGCTGTCTAGCAGGCACTCTGTGTTAAACATGCCAGTATTAGAAACCTTTAAGGGCAACACGCAATAAAAAAGTGATCACTGCCATGTTTATTGTTTAAGCGTACATAACGGCAGTATACATATAAATACAACACTCACCAAACAGGAAGCGTGTTAATGCCCAGAATCAAACATATAAGTTGTTTGTCTACGTCCGTGTGTGTTCCACTGTATCAGATCAGTAAGGTACATCGTCAACAATGCGTGATTTCTGTATAACCAGGCGATATGAATAATATAATCTTATCCGAGGTGTTATGGACTAAGTATAGTAACATATTACCCAATTATTCAAAGTTTTGAATTTTACTTCTCGTAATCTTTGTAAGGCAGAGATTAATTGAGTTTCATTCCAATAACAAGATTATCCTCTCATTGAATATTGTTAATATTTAACTAATTTAAATGGTACACACGTCATACACGCGTCCTGTAAATGTGTTGTACAACCACTATCGCTATTCTTGACCTGGGAGAGAGGAAGTTGGTCTGGATTCACGAGGTTGCATTGTAAATTAAAACGTCGTGTCACTCTGTTAGGAGCCCTCGGTATGGATCTTTAAAGAAGTATCATATTATAAGGATTGCCGTCTTACGACGCAGCAAAGTAATCTCTAATGTTATTTGCGTTACTTTCCAGTGAATACATTTATGAACTCTCGAAAATCCGGTGTTAGAATTGTTATTCAGCCACTCACGCTTGTCGTATGAGGTGGCTAAGGGGATCGGGTGGTCAGGCTCCCTGACTTGGTTGACAGCAGTTACTTGGTTGATGTTATCGTATACCAGTGGTATAGATTGATGCCAATCACTGGATTGTCAGGTCCAGAGTCGGCTATTCTCAGACTGCCTTCATTTTGGTGGAATACTGCCGAGTAGCGTTAAAACAAATAGACAAACAAACAAATATATCAGTGATTTCGTTATCATGCGTTGATAATTCTGAAGTGTAACTGTATTTGACGTCAGGAAATGCGGACACAGACTCCAACTTGTTCAACCCGTTTTGTTATGTGGTGCTGAGGTCCGGGATTATGAAAATGTTAAACTTTTGGAACGTCGTGTACATCTTCGTTTTGTAAATATATTTTAAATGTTAAACAATCAACACCAGACTTTATGGTTTATGGAGCATTGGGGCGTTTCCCCCTCTCGATTAATGTTAAAGTTAAAGTGATTTCCTATTGGGCTAAACTATTACAACCTATTGATAAGTTATCTCATATCATCTACAGCCTTGTGTACAATTTGATGGTTAATACCAACAATTCTAATTTCGTTTTATTAAATAATGTAAAAGCTATTTTAGATGAAACTGGAATGTCTTATGTATGGGTCTCTCAATATGTTAATAACGTTACTTTGTTCAAGAATAATATACAGAGGACCCTTTTAGATCAGTTTGTACAATCTAGGAATTTTTCTCATGAAATGTCATTATCAACCACTCATTCTCAGATTATCCAACTATATAAAACACCGTTTGTTCCTCTTCAAATGATATCATCTAAATGTTTTATTTATATTTATACATACCTGTATGTTCTCTATATCATATGGCAGCTTGGGTATTTTTTCCATGGTTAACTGTGTGAATCGTCACGTAACCTTATTCGAATCCCCACATGGGCATTATTAACCAGCCATTCTCAAATTATCCCCCTACCGTGATATAAAACACCGCTTGGAATATTGCTAAAAGCGGCGTAAAACTGAAACTCATCAGTTTATCAGTCCTGTCATGTTCTCTATATCACTTTTTGTGGGGTTTTTTAGAATAAAATTCTGTTCTGTTCTGTAATTGATGATTTACCTCCCTCCAATATATGTACCTTTATAAATTTGTACCTGCTTGAATGCAGGCTTTTAAGAAAGCGTACCAAATTCTAACGCCTATTGATGATATAAGTAATTCTGTATATTCCGCCTACGATTATTGCAGTATTTATTCCACCTACGATCCCAACATTTTATATATTCATGACGGTGACACATGGAATGAGGTCCGGTTTACGACATTGTCGGGGCTGATTATAAAAGCAGAGCAAGGACATGGTACATGTAGTTCGAGGTTCCGCGGAGACTGCAGGAGCAGAATCATGCTGGTGAGTCACTTCTTCGGGTATTCTTTTTCGGATATTGCAAATTGCCTATATCCTCCTACTCAACTGTTACTACCATACAAACTGATAGTACATGAAAGAAAATGAGTTGTAAAATACTCTTTCGTCTCTTCTGTAAGGAGAAAGCATATTTAATCTTTCGCAAAGGTCAGTTTTAGCAAGGCAGATACTAAGAACATTAATGTATGCATGAATTTTACAATTTGATCTAATATTACACTGTTTGCTTAACAGTACAACTGATCATCTAGTTGCAACTTATGCTTATATATGAAAAAATTAACTCATATTTTGATGTTTTAAATTGAATTAGACTGTGCTGCATGATCTCTTTGTCAAAAGAGTATAGTCGTTGTATTATTGAATGCTGACACCCACCCCTTCCCTTGTGATGAAAATGATACTTTATGATTTCTTATTCGTCTATGCGTTGAAAATATTTAGATAACTACGTTTTGTATTTTTCATATGTAGTTTCGTGTGCAAAGAAAGGCATCTTTCCGATATATTCCATCTCAGAAAGAAACGGTTCAAAGTTTGCACATGCACTGAATGCCTGAATTAATCGAACAAAAAACTCCATGTCCCTTCAAAGCGAGTAAAACCTACTGCATTTGTTTTGGAAAGGTTATTATTAGCTAACAAATCATGAGAAAATTAACTTCCAAATTCAGCTCAATATCTATAATAATTTAAACTTCAATTTCTAATAGATAATGCACTAGACAGCAAGGAAATATGAGACATGTTTCCTTAAGCAGCGACCATAAAATGGATGCATCACCAAGCAACTGTCCTTGTCTTTGAACATTGTATATTGTCACGCCCACGCCAATTGGGGTTATACATCCCTATAAATATGTATAGTTGCTACTGAGGAAATATGTCGCTCGGATGACGCCGTCCCACTGGCTATAGTGTAGGGAGCAGAGACAAAAATCGAGTATGGACTGGGAAATGTGTGTGTTTGCGCGAAGCACGCAGTGAATGAGTGGTGTTTTACGCCGCTTTATACACTATTTCGGTTCTATCGAGGCGTGCAAGCTTAATGTCGGAGGAACGGTCACAGTGATATAGATAATTATCATTTAGCTATAGTCTGTTTGCAGTGAAAACGTACCGATGAATTTCAGTTTAAACAAAAATGTAAATAAAATAAAATAAAATAAAAATTGCGAATCCTCCTAAATTTTTTTACGTTGCCAACTGAACATTTAAATCTCAGAATTTTATTCAACTTAGGATAAAAGTTGTTTAACAAACGATCCTAGTTTCAAATCGCTATGATTGGTTTGTATTATAAAAAAAAGATGTACAGCGACGCCCTCCTAGACAATATGCTCCACCCCGATTCCAAAACCACCCTTCCCTTCTCCTTTAAGAAAATAATGATCAATGTTAATTCAAGTAAAATAGATACATGTCCTCTTCCTTTTCTATTGCTTCAACATAGGGGCTCTGTGACTGATATTGGGTTATCAAAAAGTCACTATTGAAACCAGGCAGTGTCGGTATTAGAAGTCCCCAGAAACACTATGCATGTTTGATAAACACAATAAATGACAGCAGTCCTTGCGATGAGTCACGGCCAGATATTGTAGAATGACTGTTTGAACACCATTATTTTGTTTATCACTGTGACCGATTTATTGAACACTCTTATTAAGAGCATAGGCAGGTAGATACGAACATTGATGACATAATTCTATTGCAAGTTTTATTCTAATTCACTGTTTAATAGAGGCTCCGTTTTGATAGTATGTGGACCTAATTTGATTTTCTGTATTTGTATAAAGAAAATTACAGCATGGCACACCGTGAGATGATTTTATATCCACATGTGCTAAGGATTGTTTCCTCTTTCACAGA